TCCATCGGTTTTTAGTGAAGAGAAATATATTGTACGTCATTACGATTTATACTGTTAACAATAAATGTCTATATAATACGTTTATGTTATTATTTATATTTATAATGCATAACAACTTTAATGATGTAAACGTAAAGCCTTTGCAGTACAGTCGCGTTTCTTTGCTCGATATCGTGTGTTTCRTGTGGACGTGTGGTGTTAATAATATTATTTTAAGTTTAAAATGGAAAAGTGGTTGAAAGGAAATATAAAATCAGATACTTCTACTTCAACTAGTAACATAAGATTTTCAGACAGATAATTCTAGTTCAACAACCAGCAAAAGAAAAAATGAATTTTTACCTGCAAACAATAAAAAAAAACGCAAGTACAATTCAAAATATATAAAATTTGGTTTTATTACATTATGCGTAAATAAGAAAGAACGATCGATGTGTGCCATATGTTCAAATACACTCTCAAACGATTGCATGAGACCTGGAAATTTAAGTAGACATTTAATTACTATGCACCCCGAACACCAAAATAAAACGTCTGATTTTTTTGAAAGAAAAGCATCAGAACAAAGTCGGCAAGTAGTTTTTTTTGATAAACATACTAATTTAAATAAAACACTTCTTAAAGCTTCTTTTGAAATGRCTTTACTAATTGCTAAAGCTAAAAAAAGTTTTACTATTGGAGAAAACTTGGTTTTACCTGCAGCAATAAAAATATGTGAAATTGTACACGGTGATAAAATTGCAGATGCATTACGGTCCATCCCTRTTTCTAATGATACTATTAAAAGAAGAATAGACTATATGGGGGATTGTATGAAATCTCAATTATTAATTAAAATTAAAAATAGTGACACTTTTGCAATACAACTCGATGGATCGACAGATCTTACAAATAATGCCCAGTTAATGGTATTTGTGAGATATCAATATAATCCAGAAATAAATGAAGATTTACTTTTTTGTGAAACTCTTCCGAGACAACAAAAGGCATAGATATATTTAAAAAAGTAGGTAAATGATTTTTTTCTTATATAAACGAATTAGACTGGACCAAATGTGTTGGTGTATGTACAGATGGAGCAGCAGCAATGACTGGTAGAATATCAGGGTTTAAAGCAGAAGTTATGAAAGTTAGTCCTGATATAAGATTTGTTCATTGMATTATACATAGAGAACATTTAATTTTTCGAAAAATTGGCTGTGAACTGAATTCAATTATGAATGACGTARTATCAATGGTAAATTTTGTGAAAACCCGTGCCCTAAATTCTCGACTTTTTAAAATTTTATGTGAAGATATGGGATTCATTACTATTCCATACTGACGTACGTTGGCTATCCCGTGTAAAAGTTTTGAAAAGAGTTATAGAACTAAGGGCCTAGCCACACTATGCGTTTTGGCGGGTCCGGGTAAATCGGATGCGTTTTGACCGGACGGTATTCAGTATGCCACACTATGCGGTTTTGTTCCTGCCAAAACAGCTTTCTCCCACCATTTTTTTTTCATTTTTTCATGGACCACAACAGTTCAAACGCTTGTATAGGACTGACGTATGATTCATTTGATACTTAACATCTCATTTAAGATTTAACTATAATTATTGAATACTTAGAGAAATATTGATATTATTCAGACACTGCTTAATTTTAAATCAAAACAATTTGATAT